AGCATCTAAGACGCCTTAACGTTGAGAACTTGCAGAGCTTTAAGCCTTTTGTACCGCGCGAATGAAAGAGTGCACATGTGCGTGTCGCAAAGATAATAGTGCATTGCCTGTAGGAACACGCAAGCAAGGGTATGTTTGGCTGCGTCAGCGCCTCTACCCGACGTTCGTTCGTCGTCCCGAATTTAGTGTAATTGTCAGGTCACAGACGGTTCTCAAAGAATCAGCTGTCTCGTGGCCTGGAATCCTAACCTGCAAAGCAAACGGCATTTCGCCATGAGGGGGGACTTGAAATATATGCAGTGTGCGGCACCCCTTTCATACGGTTGAACATGTCTCACTTGCTTCGCCTTACTTTTGGCTCAAGATGAAAACACGAGCGCAGCATTGTGAGTGTTGTGCTTTGCTTCTGGTTGCTTTTGGGGTTGGTTGTCGCCTCTTCAAGTTCTACATTCCTTTCTTCAGCATGAAGTTTAAAGTGTGCTGTTTGTAGTGGCCCTTCAGGTTTCAAAGTTGTTCCCCAAACAGTTTACTGTTAGGGGTTCTCAATGCTTTAAAGAATGGTCCCCTTGGTGCTGGATGGTCTGGTCGGGTTCCCGGCCGGCTTGTCTCCCACTTCCTTTCATTTGTCTCCCAGTTCTTTTCATTTTTCTCCCAGGCTGGGTGCTTGTGGTCGGGTTCCCGGCTGGCTTGTCTCCCGCTTCCTTTCATGTGTTTCCCACTTCTTTTCATTTGTCTCCCACGTCCTTTCATTTGTCTCTCACTTCTTTTCATTTGTCTCCCAGTTCTTTTCATTTGTCTCCCAGGCTGGGTGCTTGTGGATTTGTCTTCCACTTCTTTTCATTTGTCTCCCAAACCGGGTGCTTGTAGTCGGGTTCCCGGCTGGCTTGTCTCCCACTTCCTGTAATTTGTTTCCCACTTCTTTTCATTTGTCTCCCACGTCCTTTCATTTGTCTCCCAGTTCTTTTCATTTGTCTCCCAGTTCTTTTCATTTGTCTCCCAGGCTGGGTGCTTGTGGTCGGGTTGCCGGCTGGCTTGTCTCCCGCTTCCTTTCATGTGTTTCCCACTTCTTTTCATTTGTCTCCCACGTCCTTTCATTGGTCTCCCACTACTTCTTTTCACTTGTCTCCCAGGCTGGGTGGTTGTGGTCGGGTTCCCAGCTGGCCTCCCACGTCCTTCATTTGCCTCCCACTTCTTTTCATTTGTCTCCCAGTTTTTTCAATTGTCTCCCACCCGGCCGGTCTCCCATCCTTTAGGCTGGGTGCTTGTGGTCGGGTTCCCGGCTGGCTTGTCTCCCACTTCCTTTTATTTGTTTCCCACTTCTTTTCATGTGTCTCCCAGGCTGGGTGCTTGTTTCCGGCCGGCTTGTCTCCCACTTCCTTGCATTTGTCTCCAACTTTTGCCCCAAACAGTTTACTGTTAGGGGTTCTCAATTCTTTCTTAAGATGTGTCACTGCTGGTGTCCGCCCATTTCCACTGGCCATGTAGCATTTCTAATTTATCATTTTTCTCCCAGGTCTACTGCTGGTGTCCGCCCTTTTCCGCTGGCCATGCAGCATGTCTATTCATTTGTTTCCCGGGTCTGTCACTGGTGCTGCCGCCCTTTTCCGCTGGCCATGTAGCATTTCTATTCATTTGTCTCCCATGTGATTTCTTTCTTTTTGTCTTTCAGGTTTGGTCCATGCACTGCTGTTTTCTGCCCTGTCGGCTGGAACAGGTTCACCTGTTGCGTGACTGTCTCCGGGATTGCATTCCTGCCACACTGTGTAACACTCAGCTTTGTTTTCCTTTTCGGGCAAGCGTTGGATGAATGACCGGATTGGATTTCGGCGGCGTAGCAGCCATCTCTCTGTTCAGTTGGGACGGGGGGCATACGTCAGGCACCAAAATCAATTTCATGTCACATCCTTCGCTCCTCATGCTTTTATTTCTTGTCCTCACGTGGTCAACTCCCCGCTGATTGAGCAGCATGACCAGCATCATGTTCGCACTTGAAGAATAATTCCCCAAAAGGTTTACTGTTAGGGCTTCTCAATTCTTTCTTAAGATGTGTCCGCCCGCTCTGTACTGCTGTGTCCGTCTCTGCCTTGCAATCCTTTACATTTGTCTCCCAGCTCTGGGCTGCTGCGGCCGCCTCTGCCTTGCAATCCTTTGTCTCCCACCTCTGGACATCGCAAGCTCTAGTTTCGATATTGAAAACACAAACTGTTTGGGGTCTACGGTGGTGTTATTTATCTTGTCATTCGAATGTTGGTTCCTTTTTCATTGTCTGCACCCCTGCCAAACTCTTTCAAAAACATTGATGCGCCAGCTGTACCATATTATCAATGTTTTCTCTTGACACCAGGCTCCCTAACCCTTCTGCGTTGTAGCCTCTGCAATGCCTTCACCGCCTTCTCTAGCCGATGGGAGGTGAGTGAAGTAGTAAAGTACCAGGAAACCTTAGGATTGTCATGGAACCAAGAACTAAGATTGCGCAGAAAGTCTTAGGGACAATGATTCTGTTACACATCTTCAGATTTTCATAGATCCAAGAACAAAGATTGCAGAGAAAGCGTCGTGGAAAATCTGGGCGTTGATGAGAATAATCAGCAAGATTTTATTGAACATCTTGACGTTCCTGGAGCCAAGAACCAAGATTTTCCACAAGACTTTCTGTGCAATCTTGGTTCTTGGCTCAATACATTGGTTGTTAAGAAACATAGTTAATAGAACCTTTACTTGCAGAGGATGGGGAGGCCAGCAAATACAAAACCAACACAAAACACTGTAAAGCACGGTTCTCTCATGGAAAAGGTAAATACTGGTGGAGGGTACAAATTTAATTTAGGAACAATGTGCCGCAAACACTGAATTCCTCAGAAAAGAAATCAGAAATCCAAGGTTCGGGAAGTATGGAAAATACAAGTTCTGGAGGATATCCAAGTACAAAGAAAATGAAACATAAACTGCAATATGGTATTTAAGTTTTACATTTATTGCTTTCTTCGGAGAAGCTGAGCAACTACAATTGCAAATAGTTTTGACGTTCATACATTTGCATCTTTCGCTCATATACTCATATACAGTTTAAATCTACATTGTGTGTGTTTCTCAAAAGCTATACCAAACATGTGAACCAATAATGATTGATATAGCATATTGCTGTTCATGCTTTGTATTTGTTGTATTTATTCCCGCGAGCACCTGCGAAAGGCTCATCTCCGTAAGAACAGTTCCCAGCTTCGACTGTGTAACTATCATCGTTATCACCATCATCATGTTCATCATCATCACAGTTGCCATCACCATCATCATCATCATCATCACCATACAGGCGCACAGGTGCTGGTGATGCACCTGCAACGAGACACCGCAACTACATCTTTCTGATTCTTTTCTCTTATGGCGGCGGGGTGGCCCGGCCGATGCTCACGAAACGCAGCCCTCAGCAGAGATCGCGCGTGCCAAGTGCTCAAACGCGAGGTAAAATGCGAATTTGGCGCGATCTTCGTGAGCCATTTGCGGAGATCGCGCGTGCTTTGTCAGAAAGCGTGCAAACTGTCGTGACTGACGTCCGAAATCTTGGTGGAGTTGCCAAAGTGTGCAACTGTGGTTGCAAACATCAAAAATGAAGGTGCGACTTTGTAGTGCGAATGTAGCGCGGGGAAGTTGGCAACTTTATAGTGCAAGTGCAGCGGGACAGCAGTTGGCCTCAGAGCTCAGCTTCGGGAACTATACGTCAGAACTGACAACTTTGTAGTGGGGGATGCGCCCTCTGGGAACTTTGTTATCTTGTTGTGCAGTAGCTAGTCTGTGGCGCACTGTCTGGCAAAACTACGTCTGCGATGTCGCTGCGCCAGTCTCTTTTTTGGCGCGGCCTCGGTGGAAAGCGTGTTTTTGTGCCACTAGCAAACGAAAAACATGCGTGCGTAAAAACTGCGTGTCGCTGGGGTGGGACGATTCGCGTGTCAACGAGGCTTGGTGTTACATTGTTGTATCTAGTCAGTGGCACAACATGCGGCGAAATTACGTCTGTGATGTTGCTGCGCCATGCGGTTTTGCGCGGCCTCGGTGGGGAGTGCGTTTGAGAGGCTCCATGCCATTGGGGAACGTGAAACATGCGTACGCAAACGCTGCGTGTCGCGGGTGGGGGTCATAAGTGGCAGTTGTGCAATACAGTGCCGACAGTGTCCCACGGCAAGAATGTCCTTACAACTGGCTTGCGCATGTCAGGCAGGAGTGCTGTCACGCGAGTGCCCTACAATTGTGCCTTGCAAATGTGTTCCACACAGACCCTGCTAGAGTCTTGTCCCACAGGTATCTTGACATGATCTAGTGCCATTGTGATCGCCGCCAACATTTGCACCATGATCATCATGATCGCTGCCATCGTCAGCGTCATCACAGTTACTTTGTGTCATCTCCCGCTGTGCTGCCGGGCCACCCTGCCATCTAGGATTAGTATGATTTTAATGTTTCCACAAAAAAATCGTTTGAGGAACTCGTGTGTTTCAAACCTTGAACAGTTTGAGGTCCAACTTTTGGGAGCGCCTCGGGACGGCCAAGATAAAACACGATCGCGAGAGAGATCTTGAGCGTACACGCTTCAATCCAGGATGCTCGGACGAATTAGGTCACGGGGCGCTATGCTTTTGCAGAATGGTGTTATATAGTTGAATGTTCTTAATGATATGATTACAGTATGCAGGCAGGCACTGCTGATGGTAAGCCGATGCAGGTTCCATGGTTGTGGGCCAATGGATTCCTAATTCATTGTGATAGGGCCCACAGATTTCGACAAACAACAAATCACATCCTGCAATACAAACGAAAGATATTTGAAAATATGTTGGCTTGCAAGTCGTTGTGCAGCCAGCCGCCCAGGCAGCGCCTTGACAAAAAGGTGACGCCAGTATCGGGGGCTGCCTGGGTTGGATGGGTTTGGGATGGTTGTAGGTGTTGTCGTTGTGTCGCGTTGCGTTGGGTTGGAAATTAAGTTTTCATTGCAAAGCAGCCAGCAGGACATATTGGACAAACTCAATCCGGAGTTGCTGAACATTAAGGCGTGGACCATCAGTGAACACATTGCGCTTGGTGATATTTCTCTTGAGGACCACGAGCAGCGGCTAAGCGAAAGTGTCAACCAGTTGATGGATCGCATCCCGGGGTCTCTTGGAGTCGGTAAGCGCCAATTTTTCCTCCGTAGCGATGCCCTTTGCTCCTAGTAGCTTCTTGTCCCCAGTAGCAATGCCAGGAGCCCCTAGTAGCTTCTTGTTCCTAGTAGCGATGCCGTTTGCTCCTAGTAGCGTCCGTGTTCTCGATGCCAGGAGCCCCTAGTAGCGTCCTTGCTCCTAGAGTGTTTGCCTGTATGCAATTGCAAATGTAGACTTTCTGCAAGTTACTTTCTACAGTGGGGATCCGCTTGCGGCGGTTTTGCCCGTAGATGTTTGCCGTTTATACTTTGTTTCGAGGCGCAGGGTTGAGCCAGGTAAATGCACCGTATAGTTCTCTTCAGCATGTCCGCCTCGGGATGTTCTTGTCCCAATCTTCCAGGTATTTGAATTTCACAAGTGATCCCTTTGCCTGCTTTCGCCCTCGTTCTTTTGTGCATATTCTTTTTTCTTTGGCACTTGTCCCTTGCAGTCCTGCCTTGCATTTTGCTTGTCGGCTCCCCATTCCAGCTCTATGCTCTTTCAGCCCAGGCACTTGCAACGAAGTGGGGTGGTTTATGCGGGTACGGGTATTTGAGTTACGACTTCAAAATCGTAAAAAGGACACCAAATCAATATGTTGAAGCGAATTTATGAATTGCGGATAGTCAAGTTTACTCTTGAAATATATCGATTTACAAATTTTACCCTCCGACTCCATCCACATAAGGTTGGCCTCGTTTGCCAACCGTTGTGCTATGCACGCGCCATGCACGTGTGTGCCATTGCCGTGCCGCACCATGTGCCTTGCCGTGGGGAATGTCACGCACGACAAGTCAGGTTGGCCATTGGAGAGATGCAGGTCGCAAGGGCTGAGCGTGCGGGCGGTGGTATTGGCATAACGACAGTTCTATCCCATCAACAACTCAACCACTCTTAACAAAGCATGTGTGGCGACTATTCACTATTCCAGCAACATCATTCAGAACTGTTCCTTTCAGATGTTTCTGTTTCGTCATATTTGTGATGTCAAAAGTTTGACTGCGGTTCATGCATGTTTCCCAAAACTAACATGTCGATGGACCAATGTTTGGTGAAGAGGGTCGTTGATTTGCGGAATGTGTCGCTATGGCCGGGCCTGAATAATATAGGCCCCCTTGAAAGGGATGACCTCGTTGAATCATGCCCTCTTCGTGCATATAACGAAGTTCCAAGCGGTTCACGCGGGTGGCTTGACAGGTGCAGGAGGAGTGCCAAATTTTTCGTTCAGACATTGGAAAGCTGAGTGAGGAAATCTTGTGGCGACCCTAGCTGAGCAAGGACGCTGCTAGGGGCTCCTGGCATCGCTACTAGGAACAAGAAGCTACTAGGGGCTCCTGGCCTTACTGCTAGGAGCAAGGACGCTACTAGGAGCAAAGGAGCAAGGACGCTATTAAAACTCTTCGAGTCGACATAGAGGCTAACCTCATCCGCTGGGGTGATACCTGAATGAATGACCATGCTTGTCTTCTCCTAGGCGCATTGATGAATCGCTCCGGCACATCATGCCGTGGGTTGATTGGCTGCGCGACAACCAGTCCCCTGCCTTGACTGGACCCGAGATGCTGTGCTACTTCCTCCCGCAGCAGTTGGTAAGTGGTATGTCCGCAGATGACAGGAGGCCATTGCTAATAGGTCGGAGGCAATCGCGAGTAGGTTGGAGAACATGGCTATTAGGCTAAGTTTCCCCAAGAATCTAGGAACACTACTCGGGTGGGGGCCCTGGCCGACCTGAAGTGCACCTTATAATTCTTGTGGGCAGAGACCTGAAGGGGCGGAAAGCCTTCCTGAGGCCGGCGATGGATAGTTTGCAAACTTACGTTGAGGACTGGTTTGGGGGTGATTGGGCCAAGTGTTTACGACTGCCGTGATGTCACATAGCAGTCCAGGTCATGGTGTGAATATTTGTGGACCTGGGAGGAGAGACTAGCAGCTTTGCTGCCAACTCATCATGTCGAGGACTTGGCCTGCGTTCAAACAAGTGCGCAAGTGTTCGTTCTGTTCTGAATGGCCTCCAACCTAATAGTAATAATAGCGTTCTGTTCCGAAGGCGCAACAAAAGCTAGCGCTGGCTATGTGCATTTGTTTGCGATTCTTCCCAGCTGCTCCACCAGAATTGCTCCATGCCTACCTTCCCTTTTGCTACATTGGTGCACCTCCAATTGCCTCTTTGGCCTTCTGTTGTGCCTCAGTCATTCCCATTATGATCGTTTGAAGTCTCTTTTTTTGAGTCTTTGCATAGATGTGACTTTGGCGTTCCTCTTTTTGGTTGAAGACTTAGCTTTTCTTTGGATAGAATTGCAAATCCCAGCAGCATACCCGAAACTGGGTTGAGTGCGGTGGCAGTAGTTGGTGATCGCGTTTTCCAAAAGCCAACTTCAAGTCCGAAGACGGTATGGCCGGTATGGCACCACAACGAGCGAGCGTGCGCACTAAACAGTCAACTCCACACGCCACAAATGCTGCGGCCCTCGGCAAGGGTTGTGCACTTCCATGGGTCTAGAGGGAAGTAGTTAGCTTCTTGTTACTACTAGTAAGGCACCTGTTACTACTAGCGTGGCACTTGTTACTAGTAGCTTTTTGCTTCTAATAGCAAAATTGTTACTACTAGTATGGCACTTGTTACTAGAAGCGATGCACTTGTTACTAGTAGCCACCAACCGAACCCTGGAACAGACCGGTCCATACACCTGCAAAAGCCGTCTTAGTGTTAATCACTGTCGGTAGCAACAGTCAACAGGATCCCACTGATACGGTGCAAATACGGAGAAGGAGTGAAACTACCAAGAGCTGGAGAAGCATGAGTGTCTAGGATGATGAACAAACCCTCCATGGGCCCAAGTTTTTTAAAGGAACGCTACAAACTACTTCACAATATTATGATTATCATGCTCATCCATGAAGCCGCTGTGGCTCACATTTGCCTCACTTGCCGCACTGGACTTGAGGCAAAAATTGTCGCCACGCATCATTGACGCAGCACATGCACGATGTTCCATCATTTGTCTTCGTCTCTGCAAATCTCTGCAAGGCATTTTTGAGTTAGACATATTTAGACCAGGGTTGTTAGTGCTGCAGTTTTGGGATGATTTGGGAACACTTTTGCAGTGTAATTTTTCAATGTTTTTTGGCCTGGGTATCATCAATCTCCGCCTTTCTTGCCAAAGATGTGAGGGGACAGGCCGTTTGTACAAATTTTCTTTGTTTGTTTCTCGCCCTTCAGCCACTCTTGTGGGCCTCTCCTTCCTGCAGTGTTCTGTGTCTCCAGATTCTCAGTTTGCCCCCCGGCTGCGCCAGCCTTCCGTTCCAACTGTGGACTCACAACCCCCTCTTTGGCAACTCGCACAGGAGTTTCAAATCTTGGCAACTCGCCTGGGCCGCTGGGAGGAACAGCAGCTCGACCGTCTGTTTAGCAAAAGAGATCCCACGAACCGACAGCATTCATACTAGTAGCTTCCTTGCTCCTAGTATGCCCTTTGTTCCTAGTAGTTTCTTGATATATCTTGTTATATAGTAGCAGTAGTAGTAGTCGTCGTCGTCGTAGTCGTAGTAGTCGTGGTGGTGGTGGTGGTGGTAGTAGTAGTAGTAGTAAGGCCAGGTACCAGGAGCCCCTAGTAGCGTCCTTGCTCCTAGTAGTTGCTTGTGCAGTTGAATTTGCTTCAGATGTCCAAGTATCACTCAGCTACGGGCCCATATCTATATTTCTGAGGCAAAGATGTGCCAACGAGTTGCACAACTCGTGGGGGAAGCTGGCCGAGGAGACCTGCTAGTGTAGTGGGCAAGTACAAGGATGTCCTGGTAGGGCCCTACTCATCTACAACTGCGAGTGGTGACAGCGGTCATGTCAATCTAGTCACTCGAACTTTGGGCGTGGAGTCATATTTTCAAGCTTTCCAATTGCCAAGAGCAACACCGCTAACCACTCAGAGGCTGCCCCAGCTGGGACCCCAAGCGTCCACAACGATTCCAGCATTGTGGGGATAGCAAACAATGCCTTGAAGAAGTGCTCGACCGCATCCCAGTCCATCAAGCGATGGCCTCCAACCTAAGAGCGATGACCCTAGTAGCGTCCTTGCTCCTAGTAGCGATGCCAGGAGCCCCTAGTAGCGTTCTTGTTCCTAGTAGTAAGGGCAGGAGCTCCTAGTAGCATCCTTGTTACTATTCAGAAGATTTCAGAAATTGACACTTTATTGTGCCGCTGGCTACGACGCATGGTGCGCCAAAGAAGGCTGCCTACAGCTAGCACAAAATATGACCACAGGGCTTTTTCAACCACAGCGCTGCCAGACTCTGCTCTTTGCCCGCGTGCGTTTGTCCGATTACCATCGAACCATTTGTCCGGGCATCTGCCAAGCCTAACATCGCTGATCAACTCTTGTTCCTAGTAAGGCCAGGAGCTCCTAGTAGCGTCCTTGCCCAACAAAAAGCTGGCTGATCAACTCTTGCATTTCGGGCGGGCTGCCCGGAAGGTCCGCACGAGATTTGTCCTTCACACGACGGCTGATGTTAGAAGAAGGGAAAAGTGACTACTGAGCACCGTAGTGGTCTAACAGTAAGCCTTATTTATTTAAGCTTGGAGCCTCTTGCCTGGGCAGGTAGTGGCAGGAATTAAGGGGAATCTAGGTCTCCAGTGATATGTCTCATCATTCTGGTTTCAATCCCTGCTAGCGACTCGAACCTAGGACCTAGTAGTGATGGTCTCCAACCTACTAGCGATGGCCTCCAGCCTTGCAAAGTGGAAAGTTTCTAGGAGGACCTATTCGCATCAACATTTGATTCGCCAGAGGGACGCCCCGTCAGTAGTTGGAATTCTTGCTGTGAGTTATACTTCCACAGGGTATCCACCCCACATGTAACTCCGTTCGCCTACGTTGATATTGGGCCTTTATGCATTACGAACGCGACACCTTTGAAGCCACCATTGACTTGAAGTCATGGGCTTGGGGCACTAGTCCTAAATTTTGTCTTACTTCTGGACCTGATTTCCAATTGTAGAGATTTAGGATGCGTCATACAGCATTCACACTCTCAAAGTGAAAATAGACACTGGCCTAGCCGGATGCCACAGATCGCAATGCCTACGACTTTGTTCACCAACCACAGGCAAGTTTCCCCGGGCAAGCATCTGGCCAGCAACATTCTATGGTGCAGACGCTGGACAAAAAGCTTCCAGCGGTATACTAAGCTAGGACGATCAGCGACAGACACTCTGCTAGGAAACCACCAACATGCACCCTCCCCAGTTGTGGTCCAATTTCCCACAAAAGTCTCAGTCCACCTGCTCCTCTATGACTATGTCCTTCTCCAAAGTTTTTCTGCACTTGGAGGGATCTTTGAACATGACGCACAACAAGCAAATCAATCGGTCCATAAGGCTGTTTCTTTCCGCAGCAGGGTAGAGGGTCCAGGATTCTGTGTCAACTTAGCTTAGGGACTGAAGAGATCAAAAGAAGAAAGCACCGGATTGGACAGGTCAATGGGTCAAAGATCGAAAAAGAGCTGATCTGAGCTGAAGACCTACAGTAGCCTCTGATAATTTCAAAACGGTCAGTTCATACTGACTCAAAGTGTTTCTTTTGGGAACCAGACGCTCAACCACCCCGACAACTTTTCTAAGTAAGAACAACCTATTTCTCACAGACCAACCTAAAACAGTGCACTTCCTGTTGCCGGCACGGGCATTCCAACGAAACCTCCCACAAGTGCCCAGTAATCTAACTGCTCAACCAGAGATGCCTGTATTTACGGGTGGTTGTGTGCTGTGGCAGCAGACGTAAATAGCCGCAGAGCAGTAGGAGCGGTAGTAGTGTTCCAAACATCATTGGGCCATGAACCAGTCGATGATGCTTTTGCAACAATTGCAGCTGCACACAAACTTCTGACCTTGGGTTATCATCCCAACGTTAGCCGCCAAGTTCCCACAAAGCATCCATATAGACTCCGGTAGCATGTGCACACGGCATCGAAACAGTGGGCTTCTAGCATGAGCTGAGCAAAGACGTGTGCATTTGGATCTCATCAACAAAGCCGTGCAGGCAGGAAGCGAACAGGATGATGAGAGGTTCAAGATCCATGCCAGACCTGAAGCAATTTAGCAAACAGAGCTGTGGTGGAGGGTAATCTTCAAGAAGATGCTGACTTTGACAATCTAGTAACTCAGACCGAACCACATCGTGCCAGAAAAGGGTCGTATCCAAAAAATTGCAGTACCTTATATTACAATTGAAGAGACAGAAGGCTGAAATTGCATTTAAGACAAGATGATACAAGACTTCAGTACCAGTGGAAAGTTTTGGACCTATGAAATCGATTTACCACGTACGGCAAGATGGATTGTTGCTATCGCTGATCCTTTTCCGGATTTGGTCTTTTTCATTACCCAAACGGCAAAACAGTTTTTACGCTCGATGCATCCTTGGAGTCTAAGTTCTCTGCTGCACGAGGCAGGGGTTTTTAAGTTTCCAGGTTTGAAGGAGCAAAGGGCATCTCTACTAGGAGCAAGGGCACTGCTAGTAGCTCCTGGCCTTACTACTAGTAACAAGAAGCTACTAGGAACAAGGGCATCGCCATTACTAGCTAATTGATAAGACATCGAAGACCTTCATTTTTTCAAGACTTGCCAGGACTTCAAGGCTCAGAGCCGTCGGCTCTTAGGTTTCGAAGTTCAACAGTGAGGGGCCAAGTCGGCCAAGTCGCGTGCCCAAACTTTGAGAAAACCTCGCGCATGTTGGCATTTTGAGGCGAAAATATCTACAGCAATGTGAGGACTTTAGGGCTTGGCGTCAGGACTGAAAGCATCCGATCTCAGACGAACTACCGAGAACGTGCTTCAAGCACTGGCCCCATTGTGGTTAACTGTTGCCTTAAGCCTTATGTTCTTTTTCTCCCGCAGGAACTTGATGCTGTGCGAGTTCGCTTGAAGCGGATTGAAGTGAACCAAGTTCAAGAGTTCCCCAGATGAAGTGTGTGCACTTTCGTTGGCCAATCCGGACTGAACAACAAATACTGGCGCACTATGGCGCACTCATATTGCCGCTGTTGATATTTCTATGTATTGACACTGTATTGATGTGCTTTAATCTGGCTTTGTTTTGTGTTTGTTCTCAGCCGAGGCAAAAGAATCAGAAGGTTTGGCAGGAGAACTTCTCAAAATGCCGGAAGGCCTGTGAGGATATCTATGCCAAGTGTCATCAGGACCTGCCCCCTTCTCCCCATGTGGAGGCGCTCCACTTGGATTCGGTGAGACGATTTGTTTGGAGCCCTCAGGGCCTAAGTCGAAGGACTCAGGATGATTCTTTCAACCGGCCTTGAACACGCAAACCCGCAACATCGTTTCTTGGAACGATTGGATTGACAGTCTAAATGGATCAACATCCACAAGGAAACCTGGACGGCGACTTGACAAAAGCTGACCCTTCTCAAGGTAGGCCATCGGTTGAATGGTCGAATGACCGTTCTTTGTGTTGCACTTCGCCCAGCAAAGATGCAGGAGATGGAGCGTCGAAGCCAGCAAAGCAGTGAAGAGTTGGGAACTCACAGATGCCGTTTGGGAAGTTTGCATGTGGAGAGGTTTGGTGTATTTTGGATTTGGCTTGTGGTGGTGTCACTGCAGATTGTGTCACCACGAAGCAAGGCATCGATACATGAAGGACTGCGAAGATCAATATAGCAAGTGGCGCGAAAGTGCAGTGTGCGACTCAGACAGAAATTGCCACTTAAGGGTCGACTGCTTGACTATGACCGAGGTTGCATGGCAGCAGCAACAAATGCGAAGATTGGGACAATGAAGTAGAATGAGCTGGCACATTGATTCTGGCTAATGTCCATGGCCCACGGAAATGGGTTGAAAGCATCGGACATCCCTTGGCATCGTCAGTCCCAAGGATTTGTACGGGCTCCAGATGTTGTAGGGTTGGCGAGACCCAACCAGAATGACATTCCTTTCTTCGTGCCCAACCAGAATGGACAGAGGACGCTACTAGGAACAAAGGGCATCGCTACGAACGGAGCAAGGACGCTACTAGCTCCTGGCCTTACTACTAGTAACAAGAAGCTACTAGGAACAAGGAGCAAAAACGTTACTAGGAGCTTTTTCGCGCCTGCCAGGGATCCGGAGGCCTTGCCCCGTGGGCCCTATGCTAATGCAGCTGTATGCTGTTAATGAAAGCTCGCCCACGCAAGCTGCAGCTAATCTACGCTGCGCATGTGTGGCAAGGTTGCTTATGGAGAAATGGTGTGCTTTGTTCATCTTCTTTATGACCATAAACCCAAACAATCAATGCTTGGAAAAGGAGTCAAGTCCAATCGAAAGTTCGGCAGCGAAATGGAGCAATGAGCAGAATGGACAGTCGATTTCCTGTGGTCCGTTTTACCTGGGGTATTCTGATTATTTTGTTCCGTCTCGGATGTACTGTAGAGATCGTTGACGCTGTTCATTCGTCTTGTTTTATCCTTCATCTCTTCGACCACTCGAATCAACGAGTCCATCTCCCATGTGAGGCCTGCAAGGAAGCCTGCCCAGCTCCAGAGGCTTCGCCTCGCACCTCCTTTGATCCAAGAGTCGTGTGTTTGCCTAAGACAACAAGGGAAAGCAAGGAGGAAAGGAAAAAAAACAAGAACGAACACCTACTAGCGATGGCCTCCAACCTAAAAGCGATAAATGAAAAGAATCCGTGTGCCATGTCAGTCCGTGCACTGTGCACATATGCGTGGGAGCGTTCCGTGGTGCGTGCGGTGCCCGTGCGAAGTGACACCTTGGAAATCACAGAAAACAAATGACTCATAAAATTACTCATGCGCACTTTCCTCAAGGTCTTTGCTACTGCTTTGCGCCTGAAGTGCATAAACCCCATGACATGCAAACACAGCCAAGCCGAGTAACCAACTTGCTCTCGGTGCGTGCGTACTACTTCTTTTGTGTCGGCCAAGCTCTTCGTCAATGCTGCTTGTTCGACTTCATTGGGCCAATTGGGTTCAAGCCGGTGCAAGCCGCAATTTAGCACTTGGTCAAACATATTAATTAATTAACTTCAGGTGGGCCAGGCAAGTGTATTGTTTTTTTCAGTAATTCTCTCGATTGTGTTGCTCTTCCCAGATTCCCAGACACTTGCCACAGATTTGAGAGATGATAAGAAAGATCCGCAATGTTGCCAAGCAAACCATAGGCTTTCACGGATTTAGCGTCGGATGAGATGGGGGAATGCATGGAGCAAAAACATGCTGTGGCGTTGCAGCAGCGGCGCAACCTGCAGAAATCCCTGTGGGAATTGCAGTGTGATGGCCCCGCCTGGGCCTCGGGATCTCAAACGCAGTGCCTGTTTTGCAGTTGCACGGCGCTGCACACCTACCGATTCCGTACGGAGATTTCTCCGATTCAACCTTCCTAATAGCAATGGCTCCGACCTAATCGCCATGGCCTCCAACCTAATAGCAATGGCCTCCAACCTACTAGCAATGGCCTCCAACCTACTAGCAATGGCCTCCAACCTACTAGCAATGGCCTCCAACCTAATAGCGATGGCCTCCAACCTAATCGCCATGGCCTCCAACCTAATAGCGATGGCCTCCAACCTAATCGCCATGGCCTCCAACATCCTCCAACCTAATATCGATGGCCTCCAACCTGGTAGCGATACTTATTCTCAATATTTATGAATCATGTGTGTGGCCAAGGGCAATGGCATCATCGTCCAACATGTCTGGGCTTAACAACGATGGAACCTGGTAGGGTTTTGAGAGTGCATGAGGTCGTGGGCATCATCTATGCAAAGGAGGCCTTCTCTACCTAGTGGAATGTGTCAGATTCATGGGCGAGAGTAAACTGAGCACACTAATTCTAGTGACTTTAGGGGTCTCCGTTGAGTCGCCCCAGTCGATTGCGCTTTATTCCACCCCAATTGGATGCTTTTGGAATTTTGTGTAATGCTAAAATTTGCCATTGCTATTGACAGAGAAAAACGAAAAGGAAAAAAGGTCCTCTTCGGTCGACCGCCTGTCTCCCGTCGAGGCCGATGCGATCGTCACCTGCACGGCTCAACAGCTGGCGGTGTGGGATGCGAAGAGCCACGAACGACAGCGTGGCGTCCGTGGAAAAGGCTTTTGGCAGGCAAGGTGCACATGAGCTGCACATGCAAATCTCACCTTCAGCGATCGTAATCTTGTTACTACCCAGCGATGGCCTCCAACCTAGTAGCATTCTTGAAAGATTGTCAAAAGGAAGGTTAAAGAGACTGGTGGAGCCTAATCTTGATTTTGTTTGTTTGTCATTGACTGTTGGGCCACAGTCTGACCAAGGCTTTGACCTACGCATCCCACTCGCAGTCTGCCATCATGGGCGGCCGCGACGGCACTGTGGTGGTCTGGGACATTTGCACCGGTGAGGCCAAGCAAGAGCTTTGTGCAGCCCTGAGCATTGCACTGACAGGTAGCATGACAGGCTTCAGGTTGGGTTTGAGTTACTAGTTACTAGTTACTAGTACTAGTAGCGTCCATGTTACGTTCGTAGCGTCCCGAATGCTACTAGCAGCAATGCCCTTGTTACTAGTAGCGATGCCCTTTGCTACTAGTGGCGTCCCTTGTTACTAGGTAGCTCATAGTGCAAGATTGCTCAACCTGGGCACATCCAGGTTGTGGCAGTGCCATATCTTCGTTGGACTATGCAGAGTCCTTGAAGGCCCGGCAATTTGTTCCGCGCGCAACCTGGAGTCTTTGAGGAACCTTCAAGCCTCAAACAACTCTTTCTCCTATTTAATGCCTCACACAACTCCCTCCTTCTTCTTCATATTGAGTTAATCTTATTTTGTCTGCTAGTCACGATTCGCCACTCGAGCACGACTAGCGGCGAGTGGCACGTGAGGCGGTCTTCTCTGGTGAAGAGAATGGCACCGTCATCCTTTGGGACCTTTGTCGAGGTCTTCAGCTTTCAGTGGTTTGGTGTGATGCCGCAGTGTCTTCGGCCAAAACCCTCCGTTTTCTAAGCTCATGTTCGGTCGTGTGGAGTCTATATTCCATAAGCTTGAGGATAGTTTTATCACGTTTGTATCATCACAATGCTTCATGATGGCATCAGCATTCTTTTCCGCGCTGGTGCTGAGGTGAATTGCCTCGCCTATTGGTTCATCGCGCCGTATATTCGGGACATCCCGCACCTGCACAACGGTGAGATGATGCAGAAGCTCATCCCAGCCACTCCACGCGGCACTATGGGAAGAACCTTCCTCACGGGGGATACAGCTTTTAAGGCGCGCTGGGGAAGATTCGTTTTGAAAGTTTTGCTTCGTTGGCCGTCGCAATTGAACACCGTGCGTTTTACAAAACACGGAGTGACCAGTAAATGTCGAAGAGATGGGCATGGGATCAAGAGATGAACTGTGGCGACGCGAGGTGAAAGTCTGGGACATTGAGACGGGCATTGCAAAGAAGGTCTTTCATTGCCACAGCCATGTTCTGGTGCTAGCCGTTTCGCCCTTCTTGGGTCTCATTGCTGCCGGGGAGGCGCCCTTCACTTTCTTCATTGTGCAGAAACTTCAGAGTGAGTAGATCCTTTGTTCCTAGTAGCTTCTTGCTCCTAGCAGTAAGGCCAAAAGCCCCTAGTAGCGTCTTTGCTCCTAGTAGCGATGCCAGGAGCCCCTGTTAGCCTCAAGTAGATTGCTTTGATACCGATCCTGTTAGTCGCACGCGTGAGGCCAATGGCCGGGTCACTCTTTGGGATGCCGAGGTTGAGAGCCTAGGCGAATATCGTACGGGCGAATGTTGAAGAGAGTATGACGTAGTCAGAATAGAAGGAAAGAAGGAGCAAGAACGCTACTAGGGGCTCCTGGCCTTGCTACTAGGGGCTCATGGCCTTACTACTAGGAGCAAGGACGCTACTAGTAGCCCAGAATAGAAAGAAAGAAGGTAAGGCCCCTCACACCTGACCACAACATATGAGACGTATGAGGATTCTTGGTTTACACCTTGGCTTCTTGGAGGCCATCCTAATAGGTTGGAGGCAATTGGAGGCCATCGCTCTTAGGTTGGAGCCATCGCTATTGGTAACTCGAAATGACTCAAAAGTATATTATATTACACACACATATATATATATATTATATAGAGAGAGATTGTTTAGAATTCTGCTTAATGATATGCACCGCGGAGAAGGATCTTCTTCTAAAGGTTTTGGGTGACGTGTTCTAGAAGAAGATCTCGCCTTGGTGCCGGCCGGGGTCGCCTACTAGATTGAATGGAAGATGCCCTCTTCAAGTCTGTGCGCCATTTTGATGCACCAATTCCATCCCAGTTCACACAATCCTTGCTGGTTTGGCCCAATTCAAGGTTGAAACCCTGTGAATCGCACCGGCCTTGCGACAGCAAGGGCAAGCAAGTGAAGTGAGCAACAAGCTGTGACCCTAGTAGCGTTCTTGTTACTAGTAGTAAGGCCAGGAGCCCTAGCAGCGTCCTTGCTCCTAGTAGCGATGCCAGGAGCCCCTAGTAGCGTTCTTCCTTCACAAAAAGATACACAAAGCAAGATTGCATGATGTCACATGATGTGAGGACAGTTCTTCATCGCTTCGAGGGTGGCGCTTTGCGGTCTTTGAACTTCGCCCAAGTGGAGGACATCCATTTCCTCATTTGTGCCGTCCCTTGGTTAATTTTGATATGCGAAAAAAGAGAGGAATGCGGAATGGGTTTGGGCCGGCCTCTTAAGTAAGCCCGTTTAAAGGGGGCTCAATCAAAGAGTCAGAGTCCGGCCCCTTTCTTCTCTCATCTCGTTTGTTTGAACACATGTTCAATGCTCTCGAACATGTTAACATTGATTGCTCGGCTGCATGGCTGGGAATTTACCCGGGTGTCCGCCGAAAAGATGACCATTGAACAACGCACTGCAGAGTTCCGTGGGTTTGATTCCAGGAGAACTCACGTCAAGCATACTCTTCACCGCTGTATGTCGGAGCAAGATGAATCTAACTCTAACATCACAGCCCACGCCTACGCCTTGCTATGCTGCAGGTCGACTCAACATGACTATCCTTCATAGGCATTAGGCTTGTAATTGCACAACTTCAAATGCTATCAAATGCTTGGAGGCCATCGCTCTTGGGTTTTCTTAGCTTTGAGGCCATCGCTTGGAAGGAATTTGACGCTCTTTCTTTCCGCTCTTCACTTCTCAGGAATCAATGCGGCTCGTGTCCTGGGACATCGACACGGGTCAATTTCGGCCCCTCGACATCTTGGGCTCCACGAAAAGCAAAGGAGTGAAGACTGTGAAGACCATTTTCATCCATTTTCTATTTTTGCATGTTGAGGTTCACAACAAATCGGGACACAACAAAACACATTCTCATTTTTCCTGTCTAGCCTGCTGCTAAGGTCCCATAATCTAAAGCAGCCTTCCTGCTGCAGCTGTGCAATGTCCCTTTGTATTCTGCCGGCGGTGGAGGAGTGGAAAATCGACCACGAAAGATTTTTGTGCTTTTGGTTTGTTGTATGCGTACTAGGCGCAAGGACGCTACTAGGGGTTTGTTGTATGCGGTGCCGGGAACCCTTGAGCTCGGGAAGCCGAACCCTTGAACCGGGACTGGCAGAGCCTCTTCCTCACCTCTTCCTCCTTCGCTGGAACCCTTGAGTGCTTGAAGAGTGGACAGGCTTCCCAACGCCAAGAGCACAACCTGATTCTCCCATCAGCTCTTTGTGCTAGGGGTTTCAACATGTTTCAACCAACAGACTGATTCTTAGGCAGATATTTCTGGTAACATTTGTGGTTGCGAGGTTGATATTGAAAGACATGTTCCTTAGGCAGAAAAATATCCAATGTGCCAATCAGGAGGGCGCTGAATCTCCTGATGTGCTGCTGGTGGGTGACAGTGCAGGCCTTGTGCGCGCCTTGCGGCTGGAGGCGTTGCATGCAACACGTGGTCATGATGGGCCCCGCAGTGGGGATGGCATTCGGCTGCGGAGCTCCTTGAGAAGCTGATGCGAGTTGATGCGAGCGGAAGGTGCTGGAGCTTTGGAGTGGCAAACGTAGACAGGACAGGACGAAAGTTTTCAAATGTTTTCAATCCAATTTGTTAAGCAAGCAGAAAGAATTACACAGACAAGCTAAAAAGTTGTAACTTTAGTTAATTACATGTACACATAATTACACATTGTATGAAGGTGTTAGTCGGGTATGTATCACGCGATGTCATGGTTTGTGGATTTGCCTGACGCCAAATCTCGAGTAACTCGAGTACTCAAAAATTGGTGAAGAAAGACAATCGTAGTCAGACAAGACATGAGCAAATTGTGATTCAAGGGATTGTAGACTTCCATGCCCTTCATTTAATTGGTGATACTGTTTCGGGTAATGATCAAGTTTTGAAGAGTGTGGGAGTTTGACTTAGCAATGCAACGGCTTCGTTCTTGTTTGTTACGAAACGAGACACAGGTTCAACAAGAAAGAGTTCGCTTCTCGATCCGGTCGAAGCAAAAAGAGCACACCGACTTCACGGCAGATCTCGACCGGACCTTTGGTCGGATTGTTCATAGCCTCCGCCTCTTTGGCATCGGTGCCCAACGTTGGCATCTGAAAATCAATGTCCCAATCAACCTCGAAGAGCGGGGAGAGAAAAGGGTGGTGCAGGCTTGATGGGGAACGGGTTGTACTGAGTTGCACTAATGTAGTATGTATATAACAGTTTCTTCCATGTGCCATGTGCTGTTGGCAGCTGAGTTTACGCTTAGCACTGATCGCTGCAAGGTCTTGAAATGAAAGATGAAAGACACCCTTGAGCCGAGGGAAATTTGTACTAAGAAGAAATGTGGAAAAAACCCTTCAACGCAATGCAAATACAAGCGTATATGATATATGTAATGCCGTAACGTATACTAATTTTGGTTTCAGACCTTCCAAGCCATCTTCTTTCAGCCCCAGAAGTGGGTCACTGCGTCACCGAGTGAACGCTATAAGCAGAGACGTTTCATGCGCTGCCCCATGCCTGTTTTGCAGGATCCGGAAAAGCGTGTTCGCCTCTTCTCCGAGCATTGGTGCGTCTGGCATGGGTTGGACGGTTGGACGGTTGGAAGACATGGTCGTAGGTCAATGGGCGTGTGGTTTAGGCAGCCCTTGTGACATTGGGTGGGTATGCCTTGTCAAAAGAGTAGCATGCTTAAATGCTTATAATACTCAACACTCCATTTTGATGTGTTTTAGCTTTTCGGTGTTGAATGTCTTCGCAGCAGCCAACTTCTTAGGTCGCGGGTGTCCAGCAAAACCATCAGCAATCCCCAGCGTGTGGAGGCGCAAACATACATAGTTGACGATGGTAAATCACGCATACGCCAGATCTTATCCTGCCATTGTTCCGGGCAAGCAGACTATCAGCATCAGTACACCTGCTGAACTTGACTGCCCCGTACTGTCACATACAATGTAACAAGAGCCTTTGGTGGCTACTAGTAACAAAAAGCTACTAGGAGCTCCTGGCCTTCTTACTCACGAACAATGTTCGCTACTAGGGGCTTTTGGTGGCCTGTTACTCTTGACTCATCTTGGCTCAGGTGGTGCGGCTGCCTGGTTCTCATGGCTGTGGCAATATCAGCAGGCTCGAGAGACAGCGCTTCTTTTTCACAATGATATGGCATGATAGAGAAGGCTCTGAATAGGTTACTGTTGCTTTAGTACTTTAAGGGGCCAATTATTTGAGGTCAGGAGCACGGAAGCCACATTCGGCTCAGAAGGGCCCGGGTTCAGCACGGAAACGACCACTTCCTTGAACCCTTCACACACTCGAAACAGTTCCAGTTTGCAACACATCCCTTGCAGGCTGCTTCCTGTCTTACATTGAAGTCCCACTTTTGAGGCCGCTTCCTGTCTTCCCTGCTGGCCTACTGCAAATGCGTGAGATGGGGGACCTGGGTTTCAACTGCGGGAGATGGCTCGTGGCAAGTCGATCGTTTTTGAAGATCGTTCTGCGACTGTGGAGCTCATAAATTAGAGAAGAGCACAATTAAAAACACATTGAGGTTGCTGAGTGGCTGCCAATGCTTTCTTTTGCTTGTCTTGATCAGTCACGTTGACCACAGGTGGGCAAAATTCGGCAAACAGGCTACTAGGAGCAAGGACGCTACTAGGAGCTCCTGGCATCGCTACTGGGAGTAAGCATGCTACTAGGGGCTCCTGGCCGTATTACTAGGAACAAGAAGCTACTAGGAGCTTTTCCTGAGGCTTCTGCCAAAGCTCTTCAGCGGACATTGCGACATGGGTGAGGTCCAGGACAGTCCTCAGGGCGGAGGCTGTAGCGTGTCCTTGCGACATGAGCTATCCTGCATCCTAGCAGCTAGTTAGTAAGGTTACTAGTGCCCCCTACCCTTACTCAAGTAAGTAGCCGCCTACTTAGCTTTATAAATAAAAGCAGGCAAGCATAAAAACCAAAGAGGGACAGGGAGGTGGCAACCTTGAAGGCCTCTTGTTTTCAGTCACACACAAACCACGCCGCAAGGATTTTCCGGGAGGGACGGTCTTGAGTGTCATGGCGGTGTGGGCAATCATTTGTGGTCAATCCACGGACTGGGTCACTACTAGCGATGACCTCCAACCTTAAGAGCGGTGGCCTCCAACCTCCTAGCGATGGCCTCCAATCCAAGGACTGGGCTCACAAGACCAACTTCATTCTGATAGACCTCAGCATTGGCCAGGCCATGAGAGGGACATTCAGTGAGGTTCCCTGCGAACTTTGTGACCCAAGTGCTGAATACATGTGCTTCTCTGATCTTCATCGCGCAAATGAGATTCGGGTGTTAGGAGGCCTCACCGCATGCTTTCTTGAGAGAAAGTTAAGTGACCTTGAGGGGACATCATCAATGTTCTTCGTGGAGCCTGCCTGCCCAGTAGTCCAGTAGCAGTGCGTTTAGGTGGGTTCCTAGGCTTGACTATGGAAAAGAATGCTCGTGCCATCAAGTGAAGGAGACAAGCTGTTCAATGAAGCGTCTTTAGAAGACTGAATTCTCTTTCGCACTTGCCTTGGGCCAGTTCCAGAATGACAACAATGCTGAAGCTAAATGGTTCAGTGGTTCAACGCCATATACTGCCTTGGTCTTGAAAGACTTATAGGTCTTGAAGAGTCAGTCTAGAAAGACATGGTTTGAGATGGACCTCCATTCTTGCAGGCCCTGCTGGTCGGCACCGGCGTAGAGCTTGTTACACCTGCTTGAAGCTCAGAACTACAGGAAGATAAGAAAGTCAGGTTTTCTCCAAACTGGGTGCCCGGGTGCCCTGTAAAACCAGAAACAGATGGCCTCCAAAACCAAAACCTAATAACATCAATAACTACTGTAGTATGTTTCTTAAATGCCCTTTTTCGTGCATGCGTTCTCAGCATGCAACATAGTCAGGTGAGGGCTCCAGTAAAGGGTACACAACTATATATATGATACTTGTCTCACGCCCAAATACTAATTGTATCATCAAAATAGAGTTTGAATCCCTTGCATGGGTTAACTGATCTTGCTGGTGAGTGAATGTAGAGTCACCATTCTAGCTGCACCCAAGCAGCTTTATAGGACTCCTCCTTGGGGAGCTTCAAGGACGACGGGTCCAACGAGGTGCAAAGCGGCATCGTATGCTCACTGTCCCAGCCTGTGGAGCGGTGAGGATGCACGAGAGAACATCGTAATATAGCCGGTACAGCTATGCAGCTGTCACACATAGCACGTCTAATGCATAGCACGTCTATGATGCGACGTACAAAAATCACGTGAAAGTGGTCAGTGAGACCTCCGCCTTCTTGCCACTCCGGCTCAATAGCAAATGTTGCCGCTCAAGCCACAGCCTCAAGGCCTGGTATCATAGCAAGATGCTGTCAGCAACTCCTTGAGGGCTTCGTAGCTCAGCTCGTAATTGAAAGTCCAGCTTCGTGTGCATTGTGCAGCTTGTTCGGAGAAACATCGAACCTGCATTTGGGCTCAAGCATTTGCCTTGGCCAGTTCTGAGGTGAACTAAAACATCGTTGACATGATTACCTGGAAGGAAAAGCCTCGGCGGTTTGTGGAGCCCCCCTTGGTGACCCACATTGAATGCACGGGCTTCAGCCAGGCCATCGCGAAGGAAAGGAAGGCGGCCAAAATTGAAAGTGATGCCGCAGCTGAGCGATTTGGGCCTGAAACGATGGCACGCCCCAACGGGTATTTAACATTCTTCAAGAAGGACACAGGAAGTGCCTCCAAGGAACCGCGATTCACATATGATGCCGTGAAGGATGATTCGACCTATGATCCCTGTACTCCACGTGATACATGCCATCCTCTTCATACAGCCTCCGCTCGCAAAGCATGCAAAGTGTCCTTGGCGACACGCTGGCAGCTTCGCAGCTCACAGGCTTATGGCTGGCTCCCTCCAATCGATGAGCCATCCTTCGGTTATGGTCGAAGTGCTATCTTCCTTGACAGCTCCATGGACAAATCTCATCTGCAAATCGGGGGTCCCTGGACAGCACGCTAAGCGTTCCTGTTCAAGTCAAGTTTCATCCGATGATGGATGGATTCATAGAAGAGCTATGAATCGTTCAATTTTACCTTCCTTGGCACAAGAAAAAGCTGGGATTGATTTGGAAAGACGTACCTGGTTGCAATGCCACAAGCCAAAGCGAGACCTTTTTGTTTGACGCCTTGAAGGCCCCACCACACAAAAAAAAACTCTAGGTAAGACTCGGACACCGAAAGAAAACGCCACGATGCCGAAAGAACTGAAACCAAAGGACGGAACGCCGATCGCTACTAGGAGCAAAGGGCATCGCAACTAGGGGCTCCTGGCCCTACTACTAGGAACAATGTTTGCTATTAGAAACCAAAAAGAAAGAAAAAATTAATCAACATGGAATTAAGTGTCATTAGAATTGCTCATTTCTATCCCGGTCAGGCGCGCGGGAAGCGAGCACCGGTGTGGTCCAGCGGCGTGGATGCACAGTCAAGACCTTAGACGGAGGAGGTGGAGGAAAAGCTGTTTCGTTGTGCTGGGCTGGGAATTGTGAACGATTCCGAAGGAAGCTTTTAGTATTTTGCTCGATTCCTAGGATCCGGCCTGCGTTCTGCTTTTCTTCGGCCATGTGGCAGTCTTTTGGTTCCTCGCAGTGCAGGCCGTTCAGACAGGCTAGACTCGGCTTTGATTATCCATTTTTACCAAGCCGTTTCAGAAGCGTAGCGTAGAAATCATGAAAGTATATAAAACAGTTGCAGTTGGATTTTCTATTTTTGAAAGGCGCTGACCACTGGTGCTTGACATTGCACCATATGTAACGGCGGTCTGTGCGTGGTTTTGCCGCTTTGCCTTACACAGGTGATGTCCAGCGACTCTACTTGCCTCGTGATTTCAGGGGCATATACTGCGGACTTCCAGGCTCCGCTTGCTCCGCTTTGCTCACCCGGCGCGCGTCGTTCTGTTGGTGCGAGGACAGATGAATATGACATCCTATCCAAACTTGGCCTTCGCGATGAACGCAGGGGAACCTTGTTCTTAACGTGTGGAGCTCTTGGATGCTTTCATTATTGCTGAGTCTCACTGGCTCTCCTCTACAAATGGAATTGCCAAGGAAATCCTGGACAAGTTGGCACTGCAGGCCATTTATGTTTGACGTGTGAGGAATCGCCTCGAACCGCTTCTCAAACCGCTCGCGGGATCTCGCGGGCTTGCAGCAACAAGGACGCTACTAGGTGGAGTCTAGTTCACCTTAAATTTCCTCAAACGTCTAGGAGCAAAATAATTAGTGCGAGTGCTTCTTCAAGGAAGCTAGGGTGGCGGAGGGGTGCTCCCTTGAAGAAGCCCCAGCTATCCTGCGTCCAAGGCCGTAGCTTACTTGCAGGTAGTAGCTACCTCTCCCAGTACCTCTCCCTTACTTAATTAAGTAGGCGCCTACAAAATTAAGTAGGGAGGGGGGGAGCAGGCTTTAAGCAAACACACGTTGACTTTCCTAGTTCGAGTTTCCGGCTTGAGGCGATTTGCTCAGATACCATTAGAAGCTCCTTAACCGATGCTGAGCGGGCGTCCTGCACATCATCAGGCCCTGAGATTCATGATTCGAAGTTCAATGGTAGTAACAAGTGCCACGCTAGTAGTAACAGGTGCCTTACTAGTAGGAACAAGAAGCTATTAGTAACAAGTGGCTCCAGTGTTCCAAAGCGCAACAAAGTCCGCGTGACAACATGACCACTCCCAGCCCTTTTCATTTCAATATCACTGGCGTTCCCAACCCAAACCACTCCATCACTCTTTAGAACCTGGTTGCTTGTGCCGCCAGGCTCGTTGAATGGTGTAAGTGGCACGATTTCGCAGCTGGAGCAAAGTATGACAGCAGCATGGCGTGCGTTTGGGCACCTCCAGTCACTCACAGAGAGCTTCACAAAGTACGGACTTTTTCGATCCCTCATAGACGTCATAGACCTTGTTTCCACTCACCGGCTGAAACATACGCATTGTCACCAGGAAGACGTTTGTGCCATAGGCTGCTCAAGGTAAAGAGCGTTGAGCGTAAAGTAAAGCAACATTGCATTCGGCTCAGCAGTCAACCGGCAGTTGCCGTAGGTAAGGACCCTGGATGCGTGGCGGGAATGTCCTACCCACAATGTTCTTCATTGCACTTGGACTTCGCAACTGTTTCCCTCCAATTGTCCTCCACTTTGTTCATTTCACCGGTTCATTCGACCAAGGGAGGAGTTGCTGACTAGTCTGTTTCCTTGTCAATCACTGACCAAGGATCCAACACAAGCATTGCAGCTAGCTGGTGGGATTCCCACGCCCACTAGTGCAATTTGGCTGCAGGAATTTGGCATCCCAAGACATGGCAGCAAATGATGTAGGATCGATGCTTTCCATGGCGACCGAAGGTTGCTCTCACTTCCCTTATGCTACATAGGTCAGCACCGTGTAAGATTGTCGAACTTCCGAGGTCATGGCTGAAGTGTCAAAGTATTTGACACCGGTGCCTTAGTTTAAGTGGACGGTGGACGGATTGTACAATCGTACAGGTTTGTGTGGGTTAGGGTCAAGTCCCAGAACGCACGTCAGAACTCCCGGCCCTTCCAGCCTATTCGAGCCATTTTTGACGACAAAATTGATCGATGCCCCATGGCTGAAGGAGCCATGGCACGTCTCTCAAACACCTTCTGAGGTGTGCACTAGCTCATGCAGTCCACCCACGCAGCTTGGCATGTTTAGGGATTGGCTGAACTGACCACGCTGATATTTTGACAACGATTGGTTTGCATCCTCGAGTTGGAGGCCATCAGGCCATAGCTCTTAGGTTGGAGGCCATCGCAATTAGTAACTCAAAAGAATATGGTTTCTTTGATTTATGCATATTTAAGCTCATTTTTGGACTCTCCTCCCAAGAGCCAGGTCGAGAACATATGACTACAGTCCCCCACCTGATGCTCCCTTGCTGCAACTGGGAGAGATTGGAAGAATTCGCATGTCGTAAAGACACGCGAGTTTGCCCAGGCTCGGCCACAGAACACACATTTTCTCAAGTAAGCCGGCACAGTGCCCCAGGTCTTTGTTAACATGATGGACATCCTGGGGCCCCTTAGTTGGTTTTTGAAAGGGCAGATGTATAGAGGGGTTGGAGGCCATCGCTAGTAGGTTGGAGGCAATCGCTACTAGTAATTTCAATTATATAGATTCTAATTAAATTCTAATTATATAGATTCTAATTAAATTCTAATAGCTTCTTGTTACGACTAGTAAGGCACTTGTTACTAGAAGCGATGCACTTGTTACTAGAAGCGATGCACTTGTTACTACTAGCTTCTGTTTACTACTAGTGAGGCACTTGTTACTAGAAGCGATGCACTTGTTACTAGGCATAATGCGTTTCACTCCGCTCAGGCTCCGTGGGCATCAGCCTATCAGCGTCTTTCTTCGAGGTTGCCCAGGCCGCTGTGGATGCAAAACAATACAGAACATGGAACACTGGTGGAACACTGGTACGTGCCAATGTTCTACTGACTTGCTATGATTAAGCATATCTAGATAGCAGGCTTCAATTGAATGCCTGGGACGAAGCATCATGCCCATACAATGCCAGATATTGCGCGCCTTGGCATTGTGTCGAGCACTCCAATCACATCCAATCACATCATTCACTCACCCTTTGACAATTTGTTTGCCCAAGGTGCCTTTCCCAGGCATCAGTGCCTTGGCTTCAAATGTTGAGAATGTTTGATCAGATTCGGTATTTTTGCTTGCCCCGTCGATCAGCATGTGAGTTGACCTTTCTTTTCTCAGCCTGCTTTCAAAAATGTGGGTCATCTTGAAACACAGCAGGAGTACTGTGAGGAACATCTCCGGACTTGACCTGCAGGCCTGCAGGCTGGCCCTGCACACCTTTGCCTACCACAGCTGAATAATTCCCTGGTGACGCAGTTGGGGAGTGTGAACCGTGGTAGCACAGCTTGAGTGGCTGAGAGTGAACCCTGGTGGAAACTAGAGACGAATGGGCTCAAATTGCCACTCACCCCCTGATAACTTGAGGGTTCAACCCCTACAAGCCTGAGTAACCAACCCACACTTTCACACAACTTGCATGGCTTAGGATATCAAAGCAGTTAGATGCCATCGCCTCCTCCAATGCCACAGCCACCGCACTGGCAGAAGTGAACAACGTGTCTTGATCCTATCTCTTTGAGATCGCTTCAGACGGCGGGCAGGTCAGGCATGGGTTTGGTGCTTTCTGCCTTGAGTGTCATTGATCAGGTGTTGATCGTTGATCTATGCACTTGTCACCAGGAGGAGTTGATTTCTCTACTACTGTAGTGCAAAAGCTTCATTCCTGAGGGTGGTGCTTCAGTGCACAATGATGTTCACTGCTCAAAGCTGAGCGAATTCTTCACTCAGCGAGCTCAAAGAACACACTGGACTACACATCACCATACACCACATGATTGCATTGCCCTTCACTAGGTGTTTCTTAATTTGAAACATCCACCCCCGTTTTGAATTAGAACACTGTTGTGGTAAGTCCATTTCTCGCTTCCGACCTGGCAAGTGAGATTGGTTAAATTGATCGATGTTTGGATTTTGAAGAAATCCCAAGAATGCGATGTCTCTCTTCCCCTGCACCAGTTGCTCCGAGGCAGCAGGCTCCATCCTCAACAGCCTGGATTCTCTCGGCGTGGTGGCCTTTCTGGCATTGATTCTGGGACACTCGATTTGTGAAATTGTGCGAAAGCCGAACGTCTTGCAAAGCTGGTGATTGCCTTGACTATCCGAATAAAAGGTGTTTGCTTGGTTGTACTTTGGTATTTCTGGGAAGTTTGTCAGTTCCACCAGGGTCTTCGAGCGAATGCAGTTGACACTTGAAACTTTCAGAGCAGTTGAGTGACTTGAGTGCCACTCCATAAAGGCGAAGAGGTGCACATGGAGGTTGGAAGGGGGTTGACTCCAGCGTCAGCGCTGAAAGAGTACGTGATGGAAACTGAGGCGTGCTCTACATGGCTTTGGTGCGCTTCTTTGCAAAGCCGGTGGTAGCTTGGACATGGAAGACGTGATGCCAAGGGAAGATGTGAAAGATGAAAGTGCTTTAGCGTCCTTGCTCCTAGTAGCGATACGGTTCCTAGTAGCGATGCCAGGAAGCTACTAGTAGCTTCTTGTTACTAGTAGTAAGGCCGGGAGCTACTAGTAGCGTCCTTGCTCCTAGTTCTCTCCAAACAGCTCCATTTTCTTCACGAACCGCTCGCGGCCATCCTAGATGATGGATCATTTGTCAGATTCGATTCTGAATGGGAACATTTGAGCAGCCGCCAAAACGTGCAATGAATCTGAAGAATTGGCAAACCTGCAAAAGCAATAACCTTGCTTGACGGTGCGTTTTGGCAGGCGCTCATATGAACAGTGTATGTTTGGACACAGGAGCCTAAAGCACTTGGAACGAAGAGTGTTGGAACATGCTGGAACTTTGTGACCCTCCAAAACCACTAGTAGCGATGCCCGTTGCTCCTAGTAGCGTCCTTGCTCCTAGTAGCGATGCCAGGAGCCCCTAGTAGCGTCCTTGTTCCTATATGCTTCCAGGTGTGGCTCTCCATTTTGCTCATCTTCCTCTTATTCCTGGCTGGTGGAGCTGTAGCCCTCCTCAAGTCCATTCAGTGTGCTGAGGCCATCAGAGACATTTTGAGTGGTCTCTTGGGCCTCGAGAAGTTTGGTAGTAGCTCCTAGTAGCGAGGCCAGGAGCTACTGGTAGCGTCCTTGCTCCTAGCGTTCTTGTTTGTAGTTCAGTCGATCCAGTGCCTATTGCCTATGACTGCATTCACGGGCACCCAAGCAAGACCTGCTCAGTGACGATTTTCTGTGATGAATTCATGGAGTGCGCAATTTGCGCACTGAGCCGTTTGACCTGGCTGTGCCTTGGAGGGGTTCCTTTTTCCCAGTTCATATTTAGGCAGTCAGACCGTGACACCGGATGAGGTTGTGTCGTAGAAGTGGTAAGAGGCAAGAGCTGAAAAAAAGAGCTAAGCTCAAAACCAAATTGATCCAAGGGTCAGACACATCCGACGCTTATATAAATTGGATTTTTCCTTGGACAAGGAATCAAAGAAAGGAAGAAACGACAATAATCAGGCCTTACTCCAGAGGTCCTGTTAACAGGGCCTTGCTTCTAGTAGTAAGGCCAGGAGCCCCTAGTAGCGTCCTTGCTCCTAGTAGCGATGCCAGGAGCCCCTAGTAGCGTCCTTGTTCCTCTCTCTTTTTCTTTTCAGCTTGGTTTCATTTAGAATGTGGAGGCCAGCTTATTGGACTCCACTGGGCAAGTTCTCAATGTCGTGGAGAATGCGACAGGCCGAGCAAGCTGTGACTTTACAAATCCACCTCTGTTCAAAGACATATATATATATATATACACTGTTTACAAAAGCGGTCATATTTTTGCTTGTTTTGCCTGAGGTTTGGGTGATACTTTTGCTGCTCCAAGCTTGACGTGTGAACCCTTTGGCTACGCAATCTCCAACCAGGATCTGCGGACCGTGCTGCGGATTGTCGGCTTCATGGCAGGAGAGCGGATGTGAGGGCGCTCTAGTCATAGAGAAATCACGATCGTTCAGGAGAAGGAAGCAAGAAGGGAAGGCAAAGAATGGTTTAAGGTCTAAGGTCTACGGGCACGGCTTCCGGCTTCCCCAAAAGTCTAGGAACCAAAGCTAGGGGAAGCTTCCTCGAAGCCCAAGCAGGGAGTGTGTCCTAGCCACATACTAGTCCTATTTCTCCTCATCGCCTACTTTTTGTCAAAAAAGGTGATAATCGGACAGGAACAATTTTAAAGAATGAAATAAAGTCCAATCGAAAGAAGACATGTCCTTGTTCGTCCATGGTGAAACCAATTGAGTTGAAGAGCAGTGCCTTTGAAAACAGCGGAGAAAAGATCATCGCGTCTTACATGTTCCATTTTTCTGCTGAAGCACAAGTTTCTCACGAATTCTATAATCTTCTGAGGCTACGTCCTACTTGGCTTTGCAGTCCTGTGGATGCTGCTGGTGATTTGTTTACGTGGCTGGACTTGGATAGAGCTTTCTGATTCCCTGGGGCCTTCGCGGGAGAGGGTATTGCTCGGAGAATGCATGTTCAGAGTGACAAATCAAGATTTCTATAAGCCGGTGCCAAGTCACGGCTTCTTCTTGTTTTTTTTGGTCTCAAGTTTCAACAACATCTAGGAAGCAGATCATCAAGCCCGGGCCCTTCTACGTCCTAGCTTAGTAGCTTCCTATCTTAGTGGCTGTCGTACTGAACCCACACATAAGCCTACTACCGCCTACCCCTTGGGTACCAAAAAGTTACGTTAGACTTGTTTTTTCTGACATGCTCAGTTTTGAAAAGAGGCATCTTTTCGATCTCAGGCAGCCGCGTGCGGCTGGCGATCGCCCATGCCTGAGTTAGCAGTGAGATGTTGTGAGCGTTGCACGTCACACTCTGCTCGAGAGGCAGTGAATGAAGTTGCCGCCGAGTTCACCGCCGCACATCCCACTGTGAGACTTGGCCAAAAGCTGTGGTTTCGAACTGAGTAGCAAGAAGCTACTAGTAACAAAGGGCATCGCTACTAGTAACAAGAAGCTACTAGTAGCTCCTGGCATTTCTACTAGGAACAAGGACGCTACTACTAATTCGCAAGAATTTAGTCAAGTCCAAGTAAAGGCAGCAAGCCAGTAGAGATTCTGTTTACAAGATAAAGATAGCACCTCAGTTGCGTCACGTCCCACGCACGACCACACTGGCATCACTCCACTGAAGGATTACCATCAATCAACTGCTGAAAGAGCGAGACAAATGAGAGTGACTTTGTATTTTTCAATCAAGAACTGTCTCTATAAGTTCCTTTTATGTCATCACATTGAACATCCTCACACCAAACATTACAGATCTTCTCATCACATTCTTGATTGCAAATCTCCACATGACAGAACACCAAACATACACACTTGGGAAGTTGCGTGCGGACACGATGGGCGGTTTGCCACACGCCGGCCTAAGTAAAAACCTAAGGTACCAGGCTAAACAAAGTAGGTGGAGGCCATTACATTTAGGTTGGAGGCCATCGCAAGCAGGTTAGGCGGCCATCGCTAGTAGGTTGGCAGTCATCGCTAGTGGGTTGGCTACTGCAACTGCAAAAGCAAAAACATTCAAGGTTGGAGGGTTTCACTAGTGAGTGGAGGCCATCACCACAAGGTTGGAGGCCCACGCTACAGGCTAGGCCCACGAGAAACAAGACTACAAACATACATTTAACAAAAAACAAAAGCCAGAACAAAATTAAAATTCAAGAAGCATACTGAAAAAAAACTACCTAAATCTACGACACATTTGTCTATGCCCACACCCCACCCAAACCGGATAGCTACAAGCACAGCTACTGTACCAGGGTCATTAGCCGATTCAGAAACCAACCGATCAGGCAACTACGATTCAGAAACCAAAACAGCTGATTCAGAAACTACGATTCAGAAACCAAAATGGCCGATTCAGAAACCAAAGCAGTCGATTCAGAAACCAAGTTAGACTGTTCAGAAACTAAGCCAAGATAATAGCGTTCCATGTGGATGCAAAGGGCTTTTTACATTCAGTCAAGTAAGAAGTAGTGGTGGACGGCAAGAGGAGTGTGGGGTGCGGGGGGGGTGAGGGGGGGAACCATGGCCAAGATAAAAACGTTCCGTGTGGATGCAAAGGGATTTTACATTCATTCATATATGAGTTAACTTGTATCAACAGCATCTGGCTGAACAGAGTGGAGGGTAGGAGCAGTGTGGAGTGGTGGGGGTGTGGGGTGTGGGGGGGGTTCATGGCCAAGATATATAATAACGTTCCCATGTGGATGCAAAGGGCTTTTACATTCAAGAATTAGTGGCGGACGGCAGGAGGAGTGTGGGGTGGGGGGGCGGGGGGAATCATGGCCAAGATAATAACGTTTCTCCTGTTGCTTCGCGGAGAGATTTTGCATCGGTGGCACTACCACCAACTACTACTACCACTACTACAACTATGACTACTACTACTACTACTACTACCACTACCACCCTACCACCACTACTACCACTACTACCACTACTACCACGACGACGACGACGACTACTACTACTACTACTGCTACCACTACTACTACTACTACTAATACTACTACTACTACCACTACTACCACTACTACTACTACTTCTACTACTACTACTATTACTACTACTACTACTACTATCACTACCTGTACCACTACCACTACCACTACCACCACTACTACTACTACTACCACCACCACTACCACTACCACTACCACTACTACTACTTCTACTACTACTACTACTACTACTACCCGGGTCATCAGTTTCTTCTTTTGGAAATGTTTTTGGTTTTGGTTTCCTGGTTTTGGTTACCGAGTCAGCGCTTTTGGTTACCGAATCATAGTTACCGAATCAGACCGTTTGGTTACCGAATCAGACGTCGACCCTGTACCAGGCAAGGGGGCACGCACCGGGGCAACCGGCCCTTAAGAGCTACAGCTGCTCAGACCAAAATCAAAAGATTAACTGTGACTCCAAGGGTTCCACACACAGGCGCATCACCTCGCCCGGTCAATGTCTACAATTCTTGTCAGTTCCTGTTGCAGGGAGTGGTTGCCCCTTGCCTTGCTTGTTCCCTCGCTGAGCTTCCAGAATGTTTAAGCAATTTTTTTTTTGATTAAGTTTGATCACGTTCTCGAATGCCAAAATCCCATATTTGTGAAACAAAACTACTAAGTTGGTCGCTACTGGTAGTAGGTCGGAGCCCATTACTAGAAACAAGAAACAAACCCAAGCATGTTGTTCGCAGCGCTGTGGCGTTTGTTTCCATCGCAGCTGCCCGGCTCCGTCTACTCTGGCTCCATGGGTTCCCGTCCCTCGCGGCACCATGCAGCACCGGCAGTGGCAGTGCGTCCGTCCGCAGCGCCCGGCTGGAGGGTTTGCATTCGCTTCGTTGATGGAGGGGAAATGCAGCTGGAAGTTAGCCCAAAGAGGACCCACAGCACTCATAACGCCGGTTGGACACACGGTACAGATAGACTGTTGATAGATCCACAATTTGTCGCGTGCGTGCTGTTTGCTGAATGCTCGAATGAGCCAGATCCGTATTTCCTTCCCCTTTGGGCCTCAAGTGTCCAGGCCACTGGAGGAGTTGCTCTTGATGATCTCGCAGAAGTTGGACAACTTTCCTGTGAAGTATTTGAAGCTACCCTTGGAAAGTGCGAGTTCATCGAGCATCCTCACTTGGAAAGATGGGGAGCAAAGCCTCGAGGCGCACTTTGTGCAGCCTTTCTGACCACAGGTTCATGCAGGTCTGCAAGCTGGTTGACTTTTAGACGTATTGACTTAGACCGTTGCCCTGTTTGGTTCAGCTCTGGGCACTGGGATAGCCAACCTCCAACCTGGTGTCAACCAGCCGACCTTGGGAGACCCAAAGAGAAATCAAGATACACTTTTTACATATAAAAATGCATTGTTTCTAATAGCTTCTTGTTACTACTAGTAAGGCACTTGTTACTAGAAGCGATGCACTTGTTCCTAGTAGCTTCTTGTTCCTAGTGAGAAATCAAGATACTCTGCGCTGCAAGCCGTGTAAACCCTTTTTTCACCTCGATGCGAGGCCCTTGGCCTCCACGATGGCTTGGAGCTCCTTTGGATGATGTTCTTTCGTTTGCTATTTTTATCATTTTTATTCCGACAGTGCTATGCACTGCTGATGCTGAACTGAACAACTTACAACTAAACCCTTGCAGAAGCTTACAATTGTTATTATACAACTATATATGAAGGGGCCCTTTTTGCGCTTTGGACTTGCAAAGCCCGTACCTCCAAGGCTCCTTTGCGTGAAATCCTCGCCCATGGCCTCCGCCGTGCCCGCGGCACCCAGCGATGCATCGGCGCTGAAGGCCGTGGTGTTCGAGTCCGAAGAGAGGAAGGAGTTGGAGACGGTCCCTCGCAGCGGCTGAGAATCAAAACGTCTTCATAGCAAGGACGCTACGTTCGGGGCTCCTGGCCATCGCTACTAGGAGCAAGGACGCTACTAGGAGCAAAGGGCATCGCTACTAGGAGCAAGGAAGCTACTAGGTTGGAAGCCATCGCTACTAGTAACAAGCGCATGAAAATTCTGTTCATAGCAGGACCCCTGAAGATCCGATATTGAAAAAAAGCAATATCGCAAACAATTTTCAATAATATTGAACTTGATTTCTGTTCAATCGCAGGATTGTTTTTTTTTCAATATTGCAGATTGAAAACATAATCAATATGTTTGATCAATATCGACCAATATCATGATCAAAATCGAGACCAATATCAATGTCAAAAGGAACTCCACAGGATCTCCACAGGATTCTAAACTCCACAGGAACTCCACAGGATCTCCACGATAATATTGACCAATATCATGATCAATATCATGATCAATATGTGAAACCAAGATTGACCAATATCATGACCAATATTATATTGATCATGATATTGATTTTTTTGGCTTCCAAGTTGACCATTTTCAACATTATTGAAAAACATTGGGACCAATCGTAAGATTGAGTTTTTTCAATATCGGATCCTCAGGGACCAATCTGCCTTCCTCAGCTCAGGTCTCAATGTATTTGGAACTCCAGGCAGAAGGTTGGAAGGAGCTTTCATGGTGTGGCCCGGTGCAGATCATGCTCCAAGCCAGTGTGGCGGAGGTGATTTTGGATGCTCAACAGCTTCTAATGAACTTGGCCAGGGAGGCGCCTGATTCAACAATGCCAATGAATTCCTTTCCAAAGCTGTCAATGCGTTTCCAGTTTTCTTTCAAAAGTCTTTCGTGGTTTCCTTTATTTTGTGTCTCGTGCATTTGGTGGGAAATGAACCTGTCTGTGATTTGGGAGCTTTAAATCCCTTAGTCAGGTTTGAATTCGCTTCTCTTGATGCAATATTCGATCTATCGATGGCATCCTTGTGAACGGATCCAGCTCGGATTCAGTTGTGGCCCAACGCTCAACGAGAAATTCAGCACTCCACTCTCTGAACTTCGATTCCCTTCGGGCTCTTCGCTTCAGGATGGCGACTGCTTGTGCCTTTTCTCTCAGATGGACTAGGACCTAGGATATTCCCAAGGAAGCTGATGCATTTCGACGACTATCCGGCAGGATCGATGTCTGTCTCAGCCGTTCTTCGTTGAAAATGGAGAGATGTTGAACGACTCTACAGAGGTCCAGACAGTCTCAATGAGAGTCTTTGATCGCTCAAAGCTCCAAGAGGTCAGCCCATTCGACGACACCAGACATCTTTCCAGCCTCACGCTCGACATGTGTAAAAAGACTGCATATTGCCAGCATTGCAAAGATCGCATAGGGTGTTTGCTGACAGACTCAAATACCAAGCTGCAGTTGGTTGAAGAAAAGGGAACTGAGCTAAGGATACTGCTCCCTCTGGTTCAGATGCTGTTGAGCTTAATCCTTTTGGCTGCATGGGGCCTCATCGCTGGTCTGATTGTCACACAGATTCCTCCCAACTATGTGCCAAGCGAGGCGATGGAATCCGGAAAGCGGATGAAAGCAGGGTTCAAATGAGAGGAAGTCTGTCATGGCATGAGCCTCTTCAAGTTTCAGATGTTACGTGTAGGGCGTTGCACGTGGACCGCCAAGGAAGAGAGGTCCGAAGGTCCAAAAGCAAGCAAAAAAGAAGGTCTAGACCTAGAGTCAAACGAAAAGTAACATTACGTAAATAAGATAAATAAGGATGGGAAAAAAGAAAGGAGAACCGTCTCAAAGTGTCCTCCATAATGCAGACATGATTCTACAGCCTGGGAGGCCTTGAGCCAGGCAGTGGCGATGGGCAATGCGACCACCCCCAGCGCGTGTGCTGTGAGTTGGCCGCCAGGTGTGTCGGTCACTCTCTTATGGAAAACGGGCACCGTTGAAAGCTTTTTGTTTATCTTTATTTCACGAGTTTTCATTGTCATATCATACCTTTGGCGAGAGATCATGAGAGAAAGCCGCTTTTTGTAGCAAAAGAATGCCCCAAAAAAACAATAAGTCCAAGACCTAGCAAATTGTTCTGGATACCATTGATACCTATTCCATTAGCTGACAGACAAAGCAGACACAAGTACAGCGAAGTGACACATCACGACAGTTTGAAAGCTGCTTTGAGCTGAAACAAGTAACAAGTACTTGACGGGCTCGTGATGCCTGAGACAATCTGAGACGTGGTGTTCGGAGAATCTTTAAGTCCCTTGCTCGACTGCTTGGTGCTACTTACCCCTTGCAGGCTTTGCCTTTGAAGATGTTTCAGCTTGCCAGCCAAGCAACACCACAGGCCAAGAGCTTTGAAGCTCGGCTTTCTTAAGCATTGCATCCCTAGTATCCTAGCTAGAGCAACAGATGCATTGAAGCATGAGCCAAAACGATGAAAATCAAGGTGGACCCTGCTGGAGGGTGAAGTCGGCAGAGAAACAAATACTGCTTTGAGGCTGGCATTGCGCTGCACCACGCGTAGTTCTCAATGAGCGCTTTGCCTTTGCCGCTTGGCCTCTAGGATTTCCTCTCGTTTGTAGATACACAGGTGGTGCGTGTAAGGGATGTTTATCTAAAACATTCTAAAAGGTCGTTTTAGATGCTGTCCAAACCGTCAGTGAAAGATCCGCGATGAGGTTCGCGAAAGTATGTGTGTTTTTCCGTGAAGCATTTACCGATTGTCTTCATTTTCATGCAGAAACGGAAGGCAATCCTCCACAATTACTAAGCAGTTGAGGGTAGTCGGAAAGCTTAATGCAAGCCAAACGATGCTAATAGGAATCTCAGTGGTGGATGCTTTTTGGAGACATTCCTTTACGCATTCCGACCAGCCAAGCATTCGATGATTTGCAGGGTGACAATGGCTACCCCTGCAAAATTTTTGCGATTGCCAATTTGTTGATATTTTTTCGCAAGAGGACTCAGCTTAGGCTGCAGCAAAATATGCTTGTAATACCACCCCAAGAATCAACTCTAGGGCTGGAATTATTTCGACAGATTAATTTCTTCTTCCGCAGAGTGCCACCTTTGCGAATCAGAACGCGACGTGATTTGGAAGCAACATTCTATGAACACTAAGCTGGTAATCATGTGACAGCGTATGTGCACTTTGACCAAGGTTTATTAAGCTGCACATCCATACATTTACAAGTATGATACTCCGACTGGCATGTTTGTGCATTTAACGGTGCGCACCTTCGGCTTCCCTAGGCCTTCTTCTCATATCTTTGGCACAATGCCCTGCTGGCTGCCATAGGGCAATGCTTTTTGGCAACAAGTTGATGGACCCATTCACCCAGCAATTGTCGAGAAGTCGGAGTTCTGCAACGCCACCTTTCCACGAGAATCCGCTTGGCAGTTGAATGTTCATGCGGTCATGGGGGTTGTACTACTGGTAACAAGAAGCTACTAGGGGCTCCTGGCCTTACTACTAGGAGCAAGGACGCTACTAGGGGCTCCTGGCATCGCTACTAGTAGCATTCTCACTGCTAGTAACAAGAAGCTACTAGGGGCTCCTGAACGGGTCGTGTGAAAGTCCTACCGGATCCGACCGCCGTCCTAACAGCAAGTCTGCCAGACTCAGGCATTGTCGCTGGAGCTGTTGGCAGCTGGTTCTTTGCAGAAAGACGCCTGAAGGCTTGAGTTCAGAGCAGTTCAGAGTAGGAAGTTGGAGGGGTTCTGCCTAATGAAGGTCCTATTAATAAGTCCGAATAAGTCCTATATATGTAATCAAATCTATTACCCTTTTGTAGCCTTCTGATCTTCAAAATCCTTCAAAAGGTTGTGATTCAGATTGTCAAGACTGTGGGTCAAGATGGGAACACAAAAGCTTTTGCCGGTCTTGGCCGTGTGAGGGCGTGACCCCAGTATTTTGCAGAGCTACCGTGAATGCGCTTATTTGGTCACGTGGCTCAATTAGCGCCCAAGGAACCATTCGAAGCTGTGGCAAGGGAGGCCGGACAGATTCGATCCAGGCATTTTGGATCCTTAGCCTTTGGATCACTGATTCTGGCCATTGATGCTCAGCGGCACTGGCTGGGCGCTGTTCATTTCCTGCAAGAGCTCGCTCGCAGCACCACTCGGGCATTTAGAGCATTCTCTCAATATGCTCTCCACCCTAGGTTACCGATCCAAGGGTTCTTACTGTATGGCTCATGCGACTGGTGAAGTGCTCGTGCATTCTCAGCCTTGTTTCTGTGAAAGTTCATGTGCATGATCATGACACCAGTTGATCCATTATGCCGTCGCCTAAAGGGCCCGAGCCAAGACCTGCGCATTTTGCACCAAAAGGGTTCGCCATGTTTGCGTTTGAGCGTTCCTGCTTTTGTTAGTCCCCTCCTATCCTTGCAAGAGGGTGCACTAGTTGGTTCCGGAGCCCTTGTGTGTCATGTTTGACTTCGCGGCTCTTTCCGAGCAAGGTGACCATGATGCCCCTTCGCCATTGTCTGAGGGTTCTGCTACATCGGAGCCCGCTTGGTAGCAACCTGTAAGCGCAGAGGTGCTTCGCCCAGGCCCCACTGAAAGCGGGCATGGCCAAGACGTGGGTATTTGAGAGCAGGCTCATGTAAGCGTGTCCAAATCACAAGTTGACGCGCCAGGGACAATTCCACGCGGACAATTTTCGGCAACCGTATCATCTGTGTCTCAGGCGCAGTTGCGGCGCAAAAGGTCGTTCCTGAACCAAGAACAGCGTTTCGGCTTGATGGCTGCTGTTGCACGCGAACGAGAAAGGCGGCTCTTGTTTCATTATTCCATCACTGACTTAAGCCATTGGGCTGGCTCCCGCTTAGACCCTACCAAAATTCCCAAACAGGTTACTTCTTCCTATGCAAGCTCTTTGTCCTACTAGCAGGAGACCTTCATCACCAACCTTGGGATGGGACAGGTCAGCAAGAAAGACGAGAAGACAGACAGACGCTTTGGCTGCACACCATTGGCCAGAGTTCAGGTCGTTCAGCGGTTGCCTACAATAGCCTGCGGGCCAGCACGTTTGGACATGTCATCCACAGTTTCATTGTCGAATCGCGAACAGGAAACTACGTGCGCTGACCTTGACTGTTTCCACGAGACTCCAGGACATTGCAGCGTGTCAATGATACATCCAAGCCGCAAGCCAGCGCGGGCAGATCATCTTGCTGGCGCCAACGACTGTGACTGAGAAAGCGTGCTATGGTGGGTTCAAAGAGTTTCGCAACAAGCAAGTTTGCAGGAACACTTTGGCCGTAGAGGGCGTGTTGGCGGACAGTGCTGCAGATCGTTTGGGGGAGTTGGTCTTCGGAGTTGCTGCCCACCATGTGGGCCCTCGCTTGCGCGCATGTTGGCTAGAGACTGCAAGTCATTGTACGACAGCGTGTCGTCGGCCAACCCGACTGTCGAGGACAAGCACAATTTAGTCAACATTAGATCATATTCGATCCACGCAGGAGGTGGTGAGCCGAAACACCATCCATTCGATCCACGGCCTTGCACATGGCAGATTCGCTCACGAAGGTATCGGCAGAGGGACACGCTCTTGTCCTGGCGACAGAAGCCGGTCATCATTCTGCGTGATGGATCGCACGCATTTCCCCCAGTGCGAAAGTTCATGTGCATGATCACGACACCTGTTGATCCATTATGCAGTCGCCTGAAGGGCCTGAGCCAAGATCTGGGCATTTTGCGCCAAAAGGGTTCGCCATGTTTGCGTTTGAACGTTTCTGCTTTTGTTAGTCCTGTCCTTTCCTTGCAAGAGGGTGCGCTAGAGTTTTGTCTTCTCACGGCTGCAGAGCAGCGGCGTGCGCCCAGGTGCAGTTTTTGAAGTGGCTGATGCGTTTCTCACTAGCATTTTTACGAAGCGGTTTTCGATATGTTTTGCCCAACGCGCACTCAGCTGAACCTGGTTGACTGAGGTTTCCTGGCCGAACAAGCCAAGGTGCGTAAGAATCGGATCCTACAAACTATTTTCAGGATCTTGGCCTGCTGTCTTTGGTGCTTTGAGAAGCTTGGCAGCCACATGATTGTTCTTGACATTTCGTGGCATTGGGCTGCTCATCTCTGAAGGAATCAGGCTGATCTGGTGTGATCATTGGAAACAATGCAGC